TTTTCTGTAAGATGTTTATATAGTCTCTTGTACCATCTCCACATAGTCTCTTTTTCTGTAAGATGTTTATATAGTCTCTTGTACCATCTCCACATAGTCTCTTTTTCTGTGAGATGTTTATATAGTCTCTTGTACCATCTCCACATAGTCTCTTTTTCTGTGAGATGTTTATATAGTCTCTTGTACCATCTCCACATAGTCTCTTTTTCTGTAAGATGTTTATATAGTCTCTTGTACCATCTCCACATAGTCTCTTTTTCTGTAAGATGTTTATATAGTCTCTTGTACCATCTCCACATAGTCTCTTTTTGTAGAATGCTTACGTAGTCTTTTGTATCATCTCCACATAGTCGCCTCTTCTTGTAGAATATTTACGGACTCTCTTGTATCATCATCTCCACACAGTCTCTTTTTCTTGTAGAATACTTACATAGTATCTTATACCAGCTCCACATGATCTTCTTTTGTAAAATGTTTACAAAGTCCCTTGTATCATTTACACGAATACTTTTCTTGTACCATCTCCAACCTCCATATAGTCTCCTTCTCTTATAGAATGTTTACCTAGTCTCTTATACCATATCCAAATAGTCTCTTCTTCTTGTACAATGTTTACGTAGTCTTTTGTGTCATAATCACATAGTCTCTTCTTCTTGTACAATGTTTACATAGTCTCTTATACCATATCCAAATAGTCTCTTCTTTTTGTATAATGTTTACATAGTCTCTTGTACCAGTTCCACGAGAACTTTTCTTGTATCACCTCCAACTAGTCTATTCCGGAAATTGTTGCTGTGTATCATTAACATGGGTTTGTAGCTGTATATCTTATCGTGTGTATTTTAAAGCTTCTTGTATTTTCTTTCAGTACAAAACATATAGCAGCCGAGAACTTCAGACCATATTAGCTGAAAGACGACGAAAAATCGAAAACAGTACAGACAGTACTATCACCCAAAGCGAAGGCATGGTAAAGTTATTTAATGGCAGCAGTCACAGCTCTGACTCCGGCATTTCTAGTAACGGTTCTGACTCCGACCTTTCAAATACAGGCTCTGATCAGGAAGGTACTGGAAACTTAATAAATTGTACTTGTTCTAATATCCGGTAGATATGATATCCAAAATGAAGTAAAAGTATGATCACGAAGATACTGGGAACTTAATAAACTGTACTTGTTCTAATATCCGGTAGATATGATATCCAAAATGAAGTAAAAGTATGATCACGAAGATACTGGGAACTTAATAAACTGTACTTGTTCTAATATCCGGTAGATATGATATCCAAAATGAAGTAAAAGTATGATCACGAAGATACTGAGAACTTAATAAACTGTACTTGTTCTAATATCCGGTAGATATAATATCCAAAATGAAGTAAAAGTATGATCACGAAGATACTGGGAACTTAATAAACTGTACTTGTTCTAATATCCGGTAGATATAATATCCAAAATGAAGTAAAAGTATGATCACGAAGATACTGGGAACTTAATAAACTGTACTTGTTCTAATATCTGGTAGATATTAAATATGAAGTAAAATTCTGATGTTTAAGTTATCAGTAGAAAAATTCCACTTGACTTATTGCCTTATTTATAATCAAATGAATGAGCAATTGAAAGATAAAAATATTCCCTTACTTTTGAAGTCAGCATCATATAATTGTGAAATTCAAAACAGAATATTTACTGGGACATATAAGAAGCTGTATGTAGATTAAGTGTTTTATAACGATATAATTCGGAGTTCAATTCCTGTGACATAGATAGACCATCGTGTAGCTTAGCTTAATGTATCCGAAATACAGCGTTTTTGAGTTATTTGCCAGAAATGAAAGTGTAAGATTTCGGTGACTGTAGTAAATGTTGATTATTTTACTTTCTTGTATGAGCAAAAGAACGAATTAATTAATTTTTTTGTGTTTTATTTTTATATTTGTACTATTTTAGTAAAAGCAGAACTATCAATTAACTCCCATTTTAGTACGTTGTCGTGTATTACAAAAAATATGTTGATTATGTAAGTACACGTACAATACACCTGGGTAATTTTTTTTTCCAAATAATAACCCGTTTTTCAAGTCTACAGATTTCAACATTTACGATATGTTACAAATGATTCGTTTCCGTTGGATTGTAACTATGTTTAGTAAATATTATCGACGTAAGGGATAATTACATTTACTACATAAGGCACCTTCTTTTATACAAACTTGATATATGTACTTATAAGTAGTAAATTGTTAAACTTTCACTTTTATGTTTGTATTGCTGCTAAAACTGATTTGTTGATTTTTTTTTAGCCAAGATCACAACACCATCTAGGGAGAATAAAGAAAAACAAAAGGCAACGTACGAGTGGCAAAGAAGACAGCTGCTGGCACAGGCTATGAGTAATTAAAATGGCTTCTAACTGTCACGTGCTCAAAGTGTATTTCAATTAGGTCCTTGAAAATTAATTTACCTTGACCACGTGACTTGTGATTTATTAAGTATCGATTACCTTGCGAAATTTGTTCTAAAATGATCGGACAGAACACCAGGAAGTCTTTTATTATGGGATGAATGAAGAAACAATTTTCGAAATTTTTTATACAAAATGATTTTATCAATTATCATGTTTATTGGAGAAGGCACTAGAACAACAAAAATGAACACGACTTTGTCCAATAACTGCTAATGTCGATATATATACATGTAAGTTTAACATAAATATTGATTAATTGATATAGAATAATAATGAAAGTGAAGATTGTTGTAAAATGTTACATTGTTGAAATATAAAGCTTAATAATGCAGAATTTTCTAACAATTAATATGAACGTCAGTAAGGTCTATGGCAATAAATTATAGACGCATCGCTATCTGAAAAATGTCAAAGTTGAAACTTATATATTACTTTGGCAGAAATGTCTAACATTGAATGTGAAAATTAACGTGATAGATATACATAACGTTATCATATGCCACTAATGATAGCAAGTAAATTGTCATCCAAAGTAATTAAGATGAGGTCTTATTCATCTCTTGGTGTTGTATATCTTTAGAAAATAACAGAAATGATAATTTCAAGAGTTTGAATATTAAGTTTTATCTGTATTTTACCATAAAGTTCTATTGAAGTCAAAGTACATATTTTTTGTTTTTATATTTTTCAAGTATAAATTATTTCATGTCAAAAGTGCGGAAGGTTTAGCCGATTGTTGGTATCACTGGTGTATCTATTAGCTATTCACCAGGGGTCCTAATTGAATAGCGTCTTGCAAGTATCTGAAACAAATTATATAAACCGTGAAAATATCACCAATAATTAAATGCTCTTAGGTTTTTATTGTCTACCTATTAATGTAGCCACCATGTTTATAAAATGTTCAGGATTGCTTAGAACATGTCGTTCCAATGAGGAACATATATCTAACCAGTGTAGTCAACAGCGGTAATATATTTTATTATTTTCGTTTCCCAGTGATGTACATATTCATTTTTGATTTAACATGCGTTTATTGATTAGAAATTTAATATTTTGTTCATGATCAACCTTACAATTATGCTTGAGTGTTCAACCTTGAAAGTAGAAGTTCTAATTTTCATAAAACGTGAAAAAGGTGAAACGTTGGACTGCTGCCAGAAACATTACTGACGTTTCCATACGTTCACGTGAAACTAGGGCCTTCTGTTTACACTGTAATCTTCTGTCTTAGTGCTTTGGCTTGTAACAAAAGCTAACATTTGTGTTGTCTTCTCACTCGTGCGATTGATTTACGAAATCAAGACTCAGCTGGCTGTCTTCTCAGTAAAACAGATAGTTGTATTATTTGATGTGTCAGTTGGCTGACTTTGGAATATATATTCGTATTATCTTCTTGAAACCTTTCCTCTTGAGAGTAACCATATTTGTGTTGTTCTCTATTGGTTAATGGTAAGACGTGTTTTCGTTAGCTGATCAGGGAAACCTCTCTCTGAACTATTATGACATGGTAGAGAGGATAATTAGTATCTACCATAGTTCTTCCAAGTCAGTAAGTTATACTCCAAATAGAGAACTATATTTAGAGACTTTACAAGAAGAGACTAAGTGAAGATAGTATAAGAGACTCAGTAAACATACTATAAGATGTTGAAAATACGCAGATACAAACCCTTAAGATAACACATACTAAACCCCGTTAAAACACACAACTACAATCCCCTGTTAAGATTCACAGTTACAAACCTCCATTAACATACACAGCTACAAACCACTGTTGAAAATACACAGCTACTAACCCCATTTAAAGATACACAGCTACTAACCACTGTTGAAAATACACAGCTACAAACCCTTAAGATAACACATACTAAACCCCGTTAAAACACACAACTACAATCCCCTGTTAAGAATCACAGTTACAAACCTCCATTAACATACACAGCTACAAACCACTGTTGAAAATACACAGCTACTAACCCCATTTAAAGATACACAGCTACTAACCACT